TTAACAAAGATTAATAACTTCTGTAGCAAATGTAGATATTGCTCATTGTGAATGTTAATGCATTAACTAAGGTTAACTAATGAGGTCTTATTGTAAAGTGATACCTATTGGTCTTTATAGTTCTTTTGCACTTTAATCCGTGTAAAACTTATACATTTATACAGTATATTATACATTAACTTTATACATTTTTCTGTATTGCTTTATTGCATTTAAATGTTCAGTTATTTTTGTTATAAGAAAAAAGTTGTTATACTGGTTATACTGTATTATGACAACTTTTTTAAAACAAAATTTCAATACCGTGACAATACTGTAAAAAGCATTAACATGTCTTGTGGAGCGCTTTCAGAGTATGCATTTATTTGTAATTTTAACCGTTTGGAAACGGAGCGTAAATGTGGAAGTCCTTCAAAGATTTATTATCCTGTTGCGCCCTCTATAGGACCAGATACTAGTCAACGTCAAGCTTAAAGAGTCATGGCAGAGCACTGAATTTGACGAGTCGATTAGTCGGTGCAACCCCTAGTAACAACAGATTTTCTGGTGCATCATGATCCTTGTTGACCGTTCAAAGATGCTGGTCCCGCTGACAGCAGCCAAAAGACCTTGTGGCTAGGGATGCACCGATGTATCGGCCGCTGATATTTATCTGCCGGTTTTTGATTATTTTAAAGCCATCGGCATATTGGAAATAGCATGAAAAGGGCAGATACCAATGGTTTATTAATTAACTGCATGGAGACAATGAGTTGCATGTCTGTTGCATAATCCAACGTTTTTCTCTGGGCAAAAAAATTAAATGCATACAAAACGAAATACAAAAAATCTGTACAAAATATAGTTTGTCAGACGGCATAGCACAGCCTATACAAATGTGACGCTGACACATCCAACGAGTGAAATCATAGGTAAGTCGCATTAGCAGTGCCCCGGCGTTAGTTTACCCGAGGAGATGTCACAAACCACCAAGCATTAGGCCTACATTTAAGTGAAAATGATTGGCATGTAATATGCAGCTTTTTGTGTGTTTGAAACCAGCAAAAATGGCAGGATAGTGTAGAACACGGATTCACAAAAGCTCACATCACACACCTGCAGCACTTCTATGAATGAAGAAAACCGAATAAAACTATATAGGTTACATAAGGAATATATAGGCCTATACACGAAATATGTTTCACTTAAATCATTAACAGATTAACAAAACGAAAGAAAAAGTTTCGGTTCATTGTAAAGTGCTCTGAATTTCACGGAAAGGAAACAGAGACGGCAGAAAGCCGTTTTCTTTATTTTGCAAAAGCGTTACAGTTTTGAATGATGTTTTGCCTCAATGCGAGTTAGTAGTATATTTTTATTTAATGCCATGTCAGCATCTCAGGCTATTTTAATGGCAAAAACGATAAAAAAAAAAATACATGTATGATAATGCGAGTGAAGAACAAAGCCTATTGTTTACATAAATACGGAAACATTTGGATTCATGCAGAACGAGAGTGGTAGGCTTTTTTTTTGTGTGTAATTTGTGCTGGCTTTAAAGCGTTGACAGTTTTTCCTTTTGTTTAGTACACTTGGTCAAAATCTAGAAAAGATGCTGTACTGACTAGGACTAACAGCAAGTTCCAGATCAAGGCTTTTTTCCCTTTGAGTACAGAAAACGCTGTACTTTATTATTATAGGCAAAGGAAAAGTAAAAAAAATATATATTTATTAACCGGTATTTTTTTCTACTCAAACCAGTTTCTGAACGTAATACAGAGGAACGCAGGGGATTCACAAAAGCTCACATCACACACCTGCAGCACTTCTATGAATGAAGAAAACCGAATAAAACTATATAGGTTACATAAGGAATATATAGGCCTATACACGAAATATGTTTCACTTAAATCATTAACAGATTAACAAAACGAAAGAAAAAGTTTCGGTTCATTGTAAAGTGCTCTGAATTTCACGGAAAGGAAACAGAGACGGCAGAAAGCCGTTTTCTTTATTTTGCAAAAGCGTTACAGTTTTGAATGATGTTTTGCCTCAATGCGAGTTAGTAGTATATTTTTATTTAATGCCATGTCAGCATCTCAGGCTATTTTAATGGCAAAAACGATAAAAAAAAAAATACATGTATGATAATGCGAGTGAAGAACAAAGCCTATTGTTTACATAAATACGGAAACATTTGGATTCATGCAGAACGAGAGTGGTAGGCTTTTTTTTTGTGTGTAATTTGTGCTGGCTTTAAAGCGTTGACAGTTTTTCCTTTTGTTTAGTACACTTGGTCAAAATCTAGAAAAGATGCTGTACTGACTAGGACTAACAGCAAGTTCCAGATCAAGGCTTTTTTCCCTTTGAGTACAGAAAACGCTGTACTTTATTATTATAGGCAAAGGAAAAGTAAAAAAAAAATATATTTATTAACCGGTATTTTTTTCTACTCAAACCAGTTTCTGAACGTAATACGGAAGAGGAACGCAGGAACAGAAACGATCAACTACCGATTCTGCTCAGAGTGAACAGATCATTTTTAAGCCCTGCTTTATGCAATTGACCAATATCAGCCAATAGTGGTTTGTTAAAAGCAGTATCGGCCAAAAAAATCCTATCAGTGCATCCCTATAATTTCATATGAAACAGAGCGGTCTCTCTCTCACATATAGGGTTGGAGCTAATCAGGCCAGTCAGGAGCAGAATTTCACATTGCACTGTAGTAATAACTATGATGGTTACACAATTACAGGGCTATGCATTCTGTGGCAGAAACCAGTGTTTGGCATATGAAAAATGCTGTTTCCAAACACTTCCTGCAGAAGCCCTGTAATCAGCAGAGTAAACATACTTATGTCATCAATAACAAGAGTTTGTTTGTGTTTAACGCCATTCCAGCTTCTGTGGCTAGTTTCATGGCGAGAAATATTATGGCTGAATTATATCATGTTTTTACAACTTATTTTTGCTAAAAACTCAAACTGTATTTGGCTTAACTTGGTTAAAAATCCCTTCAAAAGAGTTAACTAAATAAAAAAAGTTTTCTAACACAGTTAAAACCAGCACAATCTAATAAAACATGCTTAATGGATAAAGGGATTCGGCAGAGAGAACATGTTGGAGGATCTTCCCCTAGCATTAAAAATCATCCTGGAAAGACCTATTATACAGCGGGTATAAACAATCTGGTCCCATCGGTTAGAGAATTGATAGAAATGTTTTTTCCAACATTGGGACTAATTTCATGGAGTTTATTCATTCTATATAGATCCCACTCGGTTTGTCATTTGTCATCAATAATGATCGAGACAAGATGTGGCTATGACAGAAGTCCGATCTCTCACCCGGACGAGGATTCGGATCCCTGCTGTCCGTAGCTGTCATAGCCCTGCTGCTGCTGCGGCGGTTGCTGCTGCTGCTGCTGCTGCTGCTGCTGACCATAACCACCAGAGGAGTAACCCTGAGACGACTGGCCATAGCTCTCTCCTTCAGGAAATCATGTCCATTACACACCATCCATCATTAAACATTCATAAAATCACCTATAAACCACATACCACTAGGCTGTCCATAACCACTGTAACTCTGTCCACTGTAAGAGCCGCTCCCATTACCCTGACCATATCCCTGCTGGAAAGACAAAATCATTAAGCGCCAACATACACACATATATACATACAAATATATACACACACACACACACTACCGGTCAAAAGTTTGGGATCAGTAAGTCTTGTAATGTTTTTTTAAAGAAGTCTCTTATGCGCATCAAGGATGCATTTATTTGATAAAAAATACAGAAAAAAAGTAATCTTGCAAAATGTTATTACAATATAAAATAATGGTTTCTATTTTAATATTCTTTAAAATATAATTTATTTCTGTGATCAAAGCTGTATTTCCATCATCATTACTCCAGTATAAAGTGTCACATGATCTTCAGAAATCATTCTAATATGCTGATTTATTATTAGAATTATCAACAGTTGTGCTGCCAAATATTTTTTTGGAAACTGCGATACTTTTTAAGGATTCTTTGATGAATAAATAGTTAAAAAGAACAGCATTTATTCAAAATATAAATTAAAATATAATTTATTTCTGTGATCAAAGCTGTATTTCCATCATCATTACTCCAGTATAAAGTGTCACATGATCTTCAGAAATCATTCTAATATGCTGATTTATTATTAGAATTATCAACAGTTGTGCTGCCAAATATTTTTTTGGAAACTGCGATACTTTTTTCAGGATTCTTTGATGAATAAAAAGTTAAAAAGAACAGCATTTATTCAAAATATAAATATTTTCTAACAATATAAATGTTTGCTATCACTTTTTATCAATTTAACACATCCTTGCTGAATAAAAGTTAATTACTTTCAAAAAAAGAATGAATAAAAATTATTGTACTGTAGTACAATACATTTTTGTACTGTAGTGTATATTGTTATATACACACATTTTTTATTTATACATGCACACACACATACATATATATATATATATATATACACACATATACACACTAGGGATGGGAAGATTCCCCGATTCGCTCGGTGCATCGGTTTAAAAAGTGTGCATCGGCTATAAGTTGTCATTTGTATCGCGATGCATCGTTTCTAACATATTTGCATCAGTAAAAACTGATTCATTTATATATAATTACTAGTGGATGCGCTATACTTTTATTATTTAGAAAGTGACCAATAATCTGTGACCAATATTGTATATGTAGATTGATTTCTCCTCTCTAAACTGTTTCTCAAGCGCGCTCTCTCATCACCGCTGCTGCTGCGTGAATATGATGCATCACAACACCACAGAGACCCGAGGAAAAACTGGGATTAAAGTCCAAAACCTGACCTGAAATAATCTAACAAATCAATTGGGGCTAAAGCAGTTCCATTAACGACAAATTAAGTTCACACAATCTCACTAATTTGTGGACGCTTATTCTTAAGCAGCTCTTAATGTCGATCATGGATCAAATCGATCCACCATGACAAACAGCGAATATCTGTGCTGTTTAATGCATTTGAGACTTTGTGTTTTCCTCAGTGCATAACTGACCTGCCACAAGTATATTTTTCATCTGTAAATGTTAGAAAGTCACGCAAACATATCCATTTTGCTGTCAGGAGTGGGCGAGGCACGCGAGAGCAACGAGTGCTGCTAAACAGACAGAGCGCAATCAATACGAGCGCAATAATTCTGAGTAAAATATACATTTTGCTAAAAAATTCGTTTTTGGACATTAAGAAGATGTGCGTTAAATATCGCATGCGATTAATCGTGCAGCCCTAAATAATAGTATGTAATAATAATAGTAATAGACGCAGTATACTAATTACTAAGCTCAAATGAGTTAATGTGTTTCTTATAGCAGTCAAAATATAGTCATTTTCTTTATTTAAATTTTTAATTCAGTGATTTACGCTTTAAAGAGCAATTTTAGATTATGTTCTGCAAACTATAAAACGTACAGCTGTAATAAAACCTGAGAGAAAGGCTGCATGGCTAGAAACTGTAAAAAAAAAAAAAAAGTCAAATAATAGTATGTAATAATAATAGTAATAATTTAATTAATTTATGCATTTAGCAGACGCTTTTATCCAAAGCGACTTACAGTGCATTCAGGCTATACATTTTTTACCAGTACGTGTATAAACTGAGACCGTGGTAATATCATTATGTTGCTATTGGTCAGTAGAGGAGCTTAGCTTAATCTGACAGTTAGCCTGCTTTAGTCCAGGTTAGTTTCCCAGCATAAGTTGCCACAGTGACTAAGCTTGATCTAGGCCTATGTTAAATTTGCTTTATGGAACCAAATCATTTGACAATGAGTCAGACTAAATGAAATAAGCCTGGCTTATTTGGTTAACTTGTTTTATGAAAACAGGCCTCAAGGCACTAAAAGTTATCATATTTTCTCCATTGCATCGAATCACATTGTGTTGAATCGAAATCGGATCGCACTGCATCGTAAGATGTGAATCGCATCGCTAGCTGCTTCATATGCATCTTTAATGTATCGTAGGCTATGCATCGAGATGCGTATCGTATCAGCCTCAGTCATGAGATGCACATCCCTACAGCACACACACACTAGGGCTGGGCGGTATATCGAGTTTGTACGATATATCGATATTTTCTTTATAAGCGATTCGTTATGAGACAATACCGTTTAGATCGATATACAGTAGTTTGATACAAGCGCATCTGAAAATATAGCGGAGGACATATATTTTTATTTATATATAAACACAGATTTTTTTTAATACAAAAACGAAAATACCGTATATCGCAAATGGGCCAAAAAATACAGATATGAATTTTTGCCCATATCGCCCAGCCCTGATACACACATACATAAATATATATATCTATTTTTTTATACACACACTAAACCATAATGAAGCATTACCTGTCCAGCTTGATAGGCCTGGGATCCGCCATAAGATCCGTAGCTGCACAAAGAAAAAAGGGGGGAAATTACACATCCTGAAACAAACGAATGAGTTAATATTTAAAAAAAACTAAAATCGTGGCACTGCACTGCCGCCACATTCTCGTAACGTTACCCGGATATTCACCCAGTAATACAGATCTATAACAATTATCATTATGTAGAGGAGTTATAACGCCCATAATTCAAACCTTTGTTGAGCGCCAGGCTGACCGTAGCCTGAATCTGCGGACACAAATAAACAATTAGGCAGAATATATTTAGTGTAAACAGCACCGCAACAAAGTTAATCAAGTCAGTGAAACGCGTAGCAGACATAAGCGTTAGTAAAAATGCTAAGCTAACAACCACACCACGCTATTCCCGGAGCTCGCGGCGGAACGCTCATCCTCGACACATTTACACATCCACCGAGCTCGTTTTGTATACTTAAACATAAGATACACATAATTAAAGAGGCGTATATCGTGTTTTCTATCGAGAATGTGGTTTTATAACTAAACATTATCAAACACCGCGTCGTCAGTTTAGCCGCTAATGCTAAGCGCGCTGCGGTTATCATCTTTTATGTCTCACAAAACTGAACAGCAAACAAATAAAGAACGATTACTGCGTTATGGACTACGATGTATTATATATCTTCACCTGAGGCCATCTTTCTGAAGGAATTAAAACGAAAGACCACCTATTCCAAAATAAAGAAATTAAAAACCCGGCAGGAGCGGAACACGCACTGCAGACTTCTTTTGAACTTTGACCCGAGACCGGATGGTACAGTCTAACGTGCTGAGCGGGAACGTGTGGATTCACTCGGTTATTTGACACATATGACAACTAAAATACAGCAGCAACGTCTAAAAGGCATGATTTATGGCGAACCGATAACAGCGCGAACGAAAAGCGTAACGTAATAGATATATTTAGTCAAAATGCATTTGGATAAAGACCCCTATCTGTTGGAAAGTGGTATCAACTTTGCGCCTTTTCTGTCACGTGAGCTCCACAGCTTTGTGACGTCACGAAACGATGGCGCCCGTTTTCTTTAGTTTCACAGAAGCTCATTTGAGAAGCTAGTTATTGTAATTGACCGAGTATGACACTCTCCAAATATAGGGCTTGCATGGGTGTAATAAAAAGTATTTTCAGTTATAATGTTACATATATCATATTTACATAATGCATACATAATACATTATAATAAACTAATAATGTCCTCCTGAGAACCATTGGAAAAAATGTCAATTAAATTACATTAATTTATTTTACAACACTGTGTGCACCTTGATACATTCACTCTGTTTGAGCTTTGATTCATCATGTGTTATTACGGCGGTTCTCCATATATGTTTAATATTCAAAACAACAGATTTTAGTAGCAGTGTGGTTACGCTATTTCAGCAGAAAGGGCCTTTGGGCTTCCCGGTTTAAAATGTCTTTAGTTAGCAAATCCAACTAAAGCTGACAGGTTGCTCTGTCCCAGCAACACAGGAGTAGTTTATGTGGGACAGTATTAGCGGACAGTCCTTTAACATATTCTCTGAAGGCAACCGAGCAATGGCAAGAGTAATCAAATAATATTCTATTTAAATATATGTTAAAGTACAGTCAGAGGCAGGACTTCAGTTTTCATGGAAGCAGTTTCTGACACAGAATAGGGGCTAATTGCAACTTTCTCAGTTTTGAGAAAAAAGAAACAATTTCTAGACAGAACACAGAATTGCGATATATAAATAAACTCAGAATTCTGACATTTTTCTTCTCACAGTTATGATTTTTTCCCTCCTCTGAATTCTGAGGGCTGACAGAATAAAAAAATAAAAAAGGTAATTGTGACTTTTTTTTCTTACATTTTGTTTATATCTCACAATTCCACATTTTATATCTTTCAGTTCTGACTTCATATCTCGAATTGTTAACGTCTGTGAAATGCGAGTAAATATAAGCTTCCATAAACGACTGTGAAATAAACCGAGGGAAAAACACTTTGCTAAAAGTCTTTATATTAACTGACTTTCTATTACTGCAATACAGTGAATGACAACCACCTGTGGTCTCCATTAGTACAGTTTAGCAGCATCAGATTAACTTACAACAGAACAGAAGACTACGCAATGCCTTTATCTACACGAGCATGAAGTAAAGCAACTAAAACAGCACCTGCTAGTCAAAACTAATCTAGGCAAAAGGAGACCACTTTGGAGCTAGCATTTTAAAAGTCATTAAATGTAACTTTGTGTGTGTGTTATTGTTGATGATTTGTAATATTATTCTAAAGGCAGAAAATAGTGATGAATAAAAGCGTTTCACTGGTCCCTCTAAAGACGATGGGCGACCAAACCGTCCTTACATGCACTGTCTGATGGGCAAAAGTGAACAAAAACAGGCTCAAGACAAGGTTAAATGTTAAATTTATATTTAATCACTACAAATATGCCTAAACAGCTGTATGCATTGGAAACAACAGGTGCATATGAAACTATGATTATGTAAAAAAGAGAAAAAATACTACTACTATATATATTTCTACTGTTTTCAGCAGCAATGCTGGTCTTCCGCTAATGCAAATGACACAGTAAATAAGGCACTAGAGCTTCCAGACCAGCATCTGTTCCCTTGTCTGCATCTCAACATCACATACTGTTATATGAGATTATGAGAAATGAATAGAGATGAACTTTACTGGGCACTTACAGAAAAATGAAATGAAGTACTTCAGAGAACTAAACTGACATCTGAAGACTGAGAAGTGAGCAACTTCATCATACTCCTCCAGGAATCTGTTTTTTTGCATGTTTAAAACCACTTTCATCCAGTTCATAACAATAACCGTGAGTTTAAGTCTCAAAGTACTGCTACAGCATTAATCCAGCTCTGCACACTGTGTCTGGTGGATACTAAAAACGACCGTATTTTTGATTATAACGTCTCATGCATATGTATTTGATTAGTAGGTTAAGATCACGATTCTACACAGGATTTCTGTCTCTAACGTAACATGAGATAATTCATTTTAGAATGAGGTCGTGTGTGCCAGTGTTTTCTTTCTGAAGGATGACAGACTCGTAGGAATGAAAGCACACATCAGGAATGTACAGAAGGGGAAGGGAGCGAGCTGGTTTAGCTCCAGACGTCCTGCGAGTAGCGTCCTTTAGTCATGAGTTTCTTGACGTAATCCACCGCCTGCGAGCGGCTCAGTCCTCCCAGCTCCTCTGCGATCTCGTAGAAGGCGTTCTGGACGTCGCGAGCCATGTTACGCGCGTCTCTGCGGAGGAGAATGAATGTGTGAGAATGGTTAGAGAGACGCTCTGTCTCGTGATGTTTTGAGGTGAGGTTTACGCACCCGCAGATGTAGATGTGAGCGTTGTCGGAGTGAACCAGCCTCCAGACGGCCTCCTTGTTCTTCTTCAGCAGATGCTGCACGTACACCTGGAGGAAGCACATATCAAGTCAGTGATGAGGAGAACGGGTGGTGTTTAATCTAGGGCTGCTGATTTGACGTGTTAATTTTGTGCGATTGATTATGGAAAAAGTAATTTGTTAAAATAATGCATTGAATGCAGCTGTCCAGACCTGTGCATCATCTATAAAAATGCAGTTATATCAGAGATTAAAGTTCCCTTGCTTCATTAATTCCTGAATGATTCAGCCGTTCGAACGAATCAATTGAATGAATGACTCAGTGATCAAATCAGTGACTTGCTGGCACCTACTGGCGGATTTAGTTTCACTTTTAGCGTATAATTTCAGTTATTTAAATCATTTAATATTTCTGTATTCAACATTTTATATTTAAAACATTAATTTGACATGAATTTAATTGCACTCATGCCACCTAAACGGCTGGAAATGTACCTACAAGTCACTTTTGTGTTCTTCTGTGCCACCTCTGTAGTATAAATTAATTTATTAATACTAATTTCATATGATTGGTAACTTATTTGTCTTATTCTACTTTTTTATTATATTGTTTTAAATATTTAGTTTCATTTTTAGCGTATAATTTCAGTTATTTAAATCATTTAATATTTCTGTATTCAACATTTTATATTTAAAACATTAATTTGACATGAATTTAATTGCACTCATGCCACCTAAACGGCTGGAGTCACTTTAAGGAGTCAAATGTCACCTCGTATTAGGAAGGCAAATTTTTTATTAGAATTTTTGATTTTTGATTATTGATGAGAAGGTGCTCCAACTTTTTAAATTAGCAGGACAAGCGCTCTTGACTGAAATTATAGGATAAAAATGAAACTAAATCCGCCAGCAGGTGGCAGCAAGTCACTGATTTGATCACTGAGTCATTCATTCAATTGATTCGTTCGAACGGCTGAATCATTCAGGAATGAAGCAAGTGACTGTCTTTATGAACTGATGGAACACTTTAATCCATGAGTTATATTCCCTAAAATTCAAGATACGATTTATCTCTTATATTTATATCATTTGATATAGTTTAGCAATATCACACCAGCGTTGTTTTTCACACCAGTGCTTTTTTCCCCAAATATCTGCACGACTGCAAATGTCATATTGACTTGACAGTTCAGTAAAAAAATTTAAATATTGTCTGTTTTGGCTCAATTTCACACACGAAAATAGTTCCGATCAAAGTTACAGCAAAACTATTTTGCGTCTGTTTCATTACTGAATTAATCCATTAAATGAATCGAGTGAGTCAATGATTCAATGATTCATTCATACAGCCAGTCAGTTGATTTGTTTGAAGGAATCGGTTGAATGAATAATTCAATGACTCACTCATTAAGACACTTGTCACCACCTACTGTTGGTTTTCGTTTCATTTTTATATTTCATTAAAAAAATCATTTTAATACTAATTTTTAACCCATTACTGCCCATTTAAAACTCATTCATTTCATAGCATTGTTTAAGCATTTCTAACTGAAGTGTAAATGCATTCATGGCTATGTAAATACACAAATAGCATTTCAGATGCTTTAGTTATGTTTATACTGTAGCCTTAACAGTTTGTGTGTGATTAATTCTATGTTGAATAAAAATATTTCTTTATAAAGCTACTTTATTTGTATTATCTATTCAATGCTTTTCTCATTTAACACAACAATGACTTTAAATGATAGTTTGGGGGGTAATTTCTCAACCCAAATTAATGTGCAATTAGTTTAATCAGCACATCATATAATTCATTGGATTAAAAAATTGTAATCGCTTGACAGCCTTAGTTTAAACACAATTGATAAAACAGATCATTTAAGGATGTTGATGGATCAAATATTCCTGTTAGATGGTACAGAGAGGGCATGCTGAGTACCTTCATGCTCTTAATTAGAAAAACTATTATCAAAGGTATTTTAGGGGATGTTTTTGACTGTGGGCCGAGACGTAGCCTAGCATGAGCGCTACCTTCTCGGCCTGGTCTCTGGAGAAAGCTACATTGAGTGCCGTCAGAACCCCAGTCTTCTCAAACTCCTCCAGTTCCTCTTGGTACAGGAAGTCCTCCTTCTTGTAACGGCAGCCATAGTACAACACTGTGTCTCCAACGTCCTTACCTGCAAATGTGAAATCAAGATATTAATGGCATGACCGTGGGCTTGTTGAGACACTAGAGTGATAGTGAAAGCTGACTGAACTGAACGGTTACCTCTGGCAGTGACTGGTTATGTATGAGTAGGGTTGGGTATCGAGAACCGGGTATTCGATAAGACACATGGATTTCAATTCCGCTTAACGATTCCTGCGTTCACATTTTAATGTGATTTTTAAACTATTTAAGTGCAGGAAGGGAAATAACTTGCGCACTGTTTGCGTGCAGCGCACACATCTGAAGCGCGAGCAGAGAACAGCTGTCCCGATGCGGGTTCCCGATCGGTGTCCGTTCTCGAACCGTTCCGTGCATTTCCACAAAGGTTGTTCCGGGCCGGAACGGACTTCTCTTTCACATTTATCGACCAGTATGCACTAAATACGTCAGTATATCATCCTAAACACAGCCATTTTTTTTGTCTTAAGTGAACGTAAACAGATGAGAAAGAAAACGCATGTGTAACAGTATTTTTAGATCCGTGTGCGTTCGATATTAAAGAGACAGCCGCCTAATAAACGCGCTGCCTGTCAATAATGTTAATCAAAGAACAAAAGAAAATCATTAACTGATCTTGACTGAATATCTTAACTTTAATGAGGATTAATCTATTTTTTTATGAAAAGAAAACTATGCAGTGTTTTTAAACTTTTAATTTCAATTTCTGTACCTGAAATTAGTTTTATTTATTTATGCTATTGCTAACTGATTTGTTTATTCCTGTTTTATTGCTTACTGTTTACTTGTCTTTAACGATTTAATGTTTGAAATGTATATTAGTCTAGTTGTGTTTTTTTTCCTGTGGTATTTGTTTGGTAGGCTAAAACCATAGGCAAAAAACTGAATAAATATGTTTGACTTTGACTTAAATTTTTTTAAATGGATTTGTTTATTTTATTGGAATCGGAATTAGGAATCGATAAGAATCAGAATCGATAAAATTCAAACGATACTCAACCCTATGTATGAGTGGAATAGGGTGGGAGAGCCATAGATAAACATGGTACAAGTGCAATAAGAAGCAAAAGAGAATTCAGTTCTGACAGTTTTCGATGTGCACACACCTGAAGTAAGTGCAGACAGAGTGGTGCGTCACACAGCACAATTTGCATGGTTTAATATGTTTAAAGGAATGGTTTACAGATGAATGAAAATTAGTCAAAAATGTATTTCACTCTCAGGCCATCCGAGATGTAGATGAGTTTGTTTCTTGATCAGGTTTGGAGAAATGTGTCATTATATCACTTGCTCAGCAATGGATGCTCTGCAGTGAATGGGTGTTGTCAGAATGAGAGCCCAAACTGCTAAAATACGAGTCCATAATCCATAATAACACTTCCTCCAGTGAAAAAGTCCATCTCCTGTTGTCTCCCACATCAAAATCCACCTGCATATTTGTTTAGAGCTGTTTTGGCTTGTAAACAGTGCTTGATCTGATTCAGACCAGCCCACTTTTTCACTAGAAGAAGTGTTATTATGGATTATGGACTCGGATTTTAGTTAAAAACATCTTAATGCTGGATTTGTCTCTGCTTTTGTCTTCTCCAGATGTTAACTGATGGACTGGAGTGCTGTGGATTACTTGTGGATTATTGTGATGTTTTTATCAGCTGTTTGGACTCTCGTTCTGACGGCACCCATTCACTGCAGAGCATCCATTGTTGAGACACTGATGCAATGCTACATTTCTCCAACTCTGATCATGAAACAAACTCATCTTCATCTCCGATGGCCTGAGGGTGAGCACATATTCAGGAAATTCTCATTTTTGAGTGAACTATTCCTTTAACAGTCAAATACACCAAAGTTGCGGCAAAATGCCTGTCTTGGCGAGTATTTACATTTCCGCACACAAACTTGCCTGAAGAACTCTTTATTTCATTTGTATATTTGTTCTATTATATTTGTCCTGTTGCATGCAATAAGTTTCTTTGTTTTTGTTTTATTACTGACCGTTTACTAGGGCTGGGTATCGATTCAGATGTCCCGATTCGATTCGATTCGATATGCAAGCTCTCGATTCGATTCTCGATTTTTGTAGGGTCCTTTTTAAACAAGGGCCCTATAACATTTTCTTAATTTTTCTGGTAATCAGATGAAGGCATAAAACATTAATTTAATTTATTTAATTTATGGCAAACAAAGTGCTGCACAACAGAGGTTTACTGTTAAAATTAAAAAGAAAACAGATGTGATTATTCCTTTAAAAATAAAGATTTATTAATATTTATTAGCAGTAGTAGCATTGAGTCTTAAGACTGCTAAATAGTAATATATTCTGACAGTAGAACGTTAAACTAAACTTTTATTTTGACGGGTTGCCGTGAAGAACTTGCAGCTGCTGTGTATGTGATATGACAGTAGTTTTCTCAAATGAAACGGTAAATGCTAATGAAGTGACTCTCAGAGCAGCTGGAGATGACATTCGTGTTCATATCATCATATAGTGAGACGGCAGAAGCTGAAAACACCGCGAGCGTCATCCGCGCTTTAGTATGTGTGTAGTAAACAAAACAGTGCGCGGTGCCATCCGCCATTCATTCATTGCGGAAATCTTATGCGTGATATCAGATGCTTCTGCAGATTTATAATATTACTATAGCATTTCACCTGAGCATTGCAAATCACGCGTATGGCCATGATAAGCGCTGAATGAATGACAGGCTTTCTGTTGTAACATCGCGCAAGGTAAATAAGGGTGACATCTAGTGGAGAAGACTAATGATAAGATTCATGTTAATCAGATCTTATTTTAAATGTGTGCTGAAATAAATACCGGAAAAGATAGATTCGCAGCTTTTGAGAATCGATATCGAATCGACGTCATTTAAAAAACGATTAATCGGCAAATCAGTTTTTTTGCCCAGCCCTACCGTTTACCTGTCTTCAATAATCCACAGAACGTTTTTCTTATATTAAGCTATCATTATATAAAATGTATAATTGTACATTTCAAATTAATCTAAAATATTGCCATTGTAACAACTTTATTTCCAAAAACAAGCACCCCTAAAAATGACCTTTTGCCTCACTTTTGCATTTTAAAATGATATTGCATTATTTAAAAAATCAACTGTGATTGGTCAGTATAATAATGAGCCTTTATCCTGTTATGTCAGTGCAGTGATAAAAACTCCCTTGGGCTACAGTGTATGAGAGAAAAATATCAATTATATGCTTTATATTATATGCACCTGATTTAAGCACATAGGAAGTAAAGGATCAGAACAAAAGTTCAAAGCAATCACTTTCAGTTCATTTTGAATACATTTACGAGATGGCTCAGCCTCCTTTTGCCTCTGACTCTGATACTGAAGAAATACTCACAAATGTTGAAACCAAGGAAGCACTTAGCAGCGTTTTCCTACCTTGTTCTTTGAGCCAGCCGCGCTCCTGAACGAAGCCCATGAAGGGGGCGATGCCCGTGCCCGGGCCGACCATGATAACCGGGTTTGTGGACTTGAAGGGCAGGCGGAATTGAGACTTGCGGATGTACATGGGCACCGTGGCCTTGTGTCCGTTGTCGGTTGGCATCTTGTTCTTCAGCCAGTTAGTGGCGACTCCTTTGTTGACCCGGCCTGTCTTGGTCTCGTACTCCACCACTACAGCACAGATGTGGATGCTGTTGGCATGAACCTGTCACAGGCAGAATACACTTCAATACACACCAGAATCATCCGTGTAGAAAAGTCATTTCAACTTTTTTTTTTCCATTTATAAACTAAACAGAGACGGGACGTCTAACAGAAGTTATTTGCACTCTCTGTATGGTGCAGAGCTGAAATGATTAGTCAACAATTAGTCAAAACTACAGTTTTGTAGTCGAGTAGTCATTTGATCTCATATGATCTAATGTAAGAGCCTGCAATAATGCGGTTTGACCAGTGTGACGCTGTAGTGCAAGGTTGTTATCCATCCCTCCCGGATGTAATTCAAGAGAAGACAGCGCTTCAGAGCAAACACAGCCGAACCTGAAGCTGCTGAACAGCGTTTGGATGAATATGTAAATATATGCCGTGTGCTGTCCTCGCAATAACAAAATAAACAACAAAAACTGACAGTGGTGAGAAAGCAGCAGTTGAGAAAGCATCTGATTACAGCGACGTGATGTTTGCACGAGCTCTGCAGTTCAGTACTCCAGTAAAGTCCAGTCACATGTATTTATATAGTACTTTATGCAATAGATAGCCTTAAATCAAACAGCTTTACAGCATTAAACATGAAAAACATGTGCGAGTCAGTGTTGCTTTCAGTTAGAATTATGACTTGATTTTCTGTTATACAGCAGCTCTTCAGTGTGGAGCTAGCTAATGATAAAATCTTTTTATAAGTGGGAAAAAAATATTATTTTATTAAAGTGATAGTTTGGTTTGCAAACTATTTTGATGATCATAACCCTATAAGGTATTTTAAGAGAGATTATGCTGTGAATAAAATAGCTTATCCAAAAATAAAACGTCTTATCTTTATTATGTTTCTTATATGACTTACAAAAGCAGATGTTAGGCAGAATTATGTCATTCAGTTACTTTTTCATATAGCTAATTAAATGGTGAATGAGAGTTTCTCATTTCGTGTGGCAAATATATTTATTTGCATATATTAATTGTAATTACATAATAGATTTTCAAATTGATTACTTTTATTTATTTGTTAGAATATGTATAACTCAATATTTTAACTAATTGCAAAAGCTGAATAGGGAAAGTCTACCGATTAATCGACTAGTCGAATAATTGGCAGATTAATCGACTATCAAAATAATCGTTTGTTGCAGCCCTAGTATGGTGGAATCATCACTGAAGATAGCTAGAGAAATAATGTTATAATTTGTAGAAAACACACATATTCCATCTTGAACACTAAAGTAAACTGTCTCTGACCTTTGAGGAGGATGCGATGGAGTAGTAGCGGGCCTGCAGTCGAGGCAGGAGCTCACACAGGTGATCGATGGGAGGCCGCAGAGACGGAAAATCCTCCAGAATAGCCAAAATATTCCTGCAGGAGTCCAGCACCCAGCTCTGGTACAGCGCCTGAGAGGAGAGAAAGACAGCGTCAGACACACATGATCACACTGCAGCAGAATTACAGTCAAACTCACACCCTGCATTTAACCCCACATTCCTATGGTCCCATTCACACACATAGGACTAGGCAAATCTTTCATAAAACATCAATTGCTAAAACATTTTACACTATACAATATTTACATGGAATTAAGTTGCATTGAAAGATAAAAACTTTTGTGATAATGACGCTTTGGCTTCCATTTTAATCACCAAATGTCATTTAAAAAAAAAAGAAACAAACCACAAATTATGACTTCTATAATATGTCAAAATAGATTTGTCTTTCATGCCAGAGAGCATTTACTGATTAACATATAATCTATTATGAACAGGGGAATAATAAACATAAATATCAAATTAGGTGCAATAATTAGTGCTCCATAATTCTCACACCACCCTATTTTGGGTACAAATAGGAAAAATAACACTTCTCTCTAAAAACATTTGAAGTAAACATATGCAGATCCATACGTTTTTCTTCAGTGTACAGGAGTTGTTTTTTTTCTTCAGTGGATGCATAAGATGCTCATATTTCATATTAAACAAACAAATCCCAAAAAATCTGTCACAATTAATATATTCATATTATTCAAATCTATTATTCATAATAATAGATTTTATAATAACACCTCAGCCTTTTCTAATGATTTTATATTTATAGTAGCTTGTACTGTACAGTACTGCATGTTAACAGGTCACACTGTAGTTTTCTGTAAAATAAGAGTGTTATTTGATTGTTATTATTATTTATTACTACAATTAATTTATTATAATGTTTATTAAAGCAATAATCCAAATTCACTGTAAACCACAGCTTCACGGGGCTTATTGCTTTTATAAAACGGTTATTCCATATACGTAGCAAGGTTTCACAAAATAAAACAGAGCAAATAAAGTGTAATGATATTAATAAAAACAGTATTCTTCCACCAAACAATGTAGCTCCTCAGAAACAGTTGTGGTTTCAACAAAGTGGTTGCCGAGCAACACACAGAAGTAAACAAAGGTGTGTGTTTGTAGAGTAATTTACAACAGCTTCGAACGTGGCTCAGCCAATCAGAATCAAGCACCGGAACGCTCCGTTTTAGAACAAATATTTTATTTTTTTTATTTCTTATTTTGTTTAATATTTCTTAGCAATAAGCATCATAATTATCATTAGTCATACTGATATATAACATTTTTGCCCAAACTGTGCAGCCCTAAAACAAGCACAACAAACCTGGCGTTCTTCGTAATGTTTTGTTTCTTTGTTTTAAAAATCACATTTTAACCAGAAAAATTGCAATTAAGACTTTCTCCCCACATCATGCAGCACCAAATCTGGTTTATTGATGGTTAGTTGTCAGATCATGTTGTGTTCTGCCTCCTCAAGGAGTTTTATTAATGTAAAAATATAGCCTGCCTCACTGTTGTGTTCAAGCCTTGTTATATATGTGACCCTGGAGCACAAAAGCAGTGTTAAGTCGCTGGGGTTATGACTGGTTTTGTGGTCCAGGGTCACATATGTCTTTTAATAAGAATCTAACATTTTATGCCCTTAATGTTGTGGTGGTTTTCGCCCACGGTATCAAAAATCAATATGTTTCAATGTATCAAAGTTAGTAATTCCAATGCTGTGACAACACTAGTCCCCAATAACAGTATCACACACATTAATACTACCACTAACACTATTAATAAAAAAATATCTACATATCACAATATGTTCCTAAATCACTGAGTGCAGCTTGTAATAATAAATGTCTTGATTTCTGCAGTGGTGGCGGTGATCTTACTTTGCCCTCCGGCGAGGAGGAGGCCATCTTCCTCATGTTCTCCTGATCTTTGGGCTCGGTGGCGTACTGCGCCAGTTCATAAAGCACGTTTGTGCGCGGAGGATTGGTGATGTCCAGATAGTGCGTCAGAGCGGTGCGGTACGTGCTGGGACAGGGGAACGGATGCTTCTTATTGGACTCCTCTGAAAGGAAACACAAACACACACACATATGTGACCCTGGACCACAAAACCAGTCATACTTTTTCGAAATGTAGATTTATACATCATATACATATGTATTGTTGGCTATTGCTACAAATATACCCCAGCGACTTTAAGGCTTGTTCACACCGAGACGAATATCGCGTGTGATTATCGCCGACGTTTAACGCCTCGTGACTAAACAAAGGGCGTCAATGTGAGTGTGCACACTGACGCGCAAAACGCGAGGCGTAAAAGCGTCATTTTTAAAAAACCGCCTCGGGCTGTTTTTTTTGGTTTGACGCGCTGCGTTAAAAACTGACCGAACAATGAGATTGGCGCTTTTGTTCACGTGCCTGGAGCTGCTGAAGTTACACTAAAACACTAAAACGCTTGGAAATGAATACAAAAGTCACGTCGAAAAATGTCGGCGATAAGCGCGCGTGATAATCGTCCCGGTGTGTACGAGGCTTAAGACTGGCTTTGTGCTCCAGGGTCACATATATTTCAGCAGCACAGCTTGAGTAATCATGACAGCTGGACAGACATGACTGAGTCGTTCGTGTCATACCGTCGAGGTTGTTGAGCGAGATGACCGTGTCGAGGTCCACACCGAGGAGATCACCGATCCGGTTGACTATGACGCTGTCATTGATGGGATACACAGCCACATGGTCCCCTGATTCATACCTACACACACACACACACACACACACACACACACACACACACACACATATTCCAACATCAGCGGTAAGTATGCATGTTAAAAGGAATTAAAACTGATGTATAAAAAATATTTTGTATTCAACATTTTGAATGCAGTTACTAGAGTTCACACCGGTTATCAAGTGAACAGTCATCCTGGTTATCCATCTCTTCAAAAATCAATAAAGATACCAAAGGTCCATTTAAATGGACAAATATTTGCATATTTACTTATAGTGCATATTGTTATTTATATTTTTGGTCACACTTTATTTTGAGGACCATTTCTTACTATTAACTATGACTTTTGCCTCAAACTCCTAATTAGCTTTGCATTTTTCCCAACATTTATTATTTGCATGTTTAAAAATATTTAAAACATTAACCATATCAAATTCTTTATGCATTGGAAATTTTGCAGTGTAAATGCATTTATGGCAGCTCTTAGCTTCATCAAACAGTCTGTAAACACATCTAATGCCACTTCAGATGCAGCTTCTGTGTCCTCCGCAGTGGAAAGATGAGTTTGTTGTTGCTGATTTCATTTGAATGGTAACAACTCTACAGTTTCACCGGTTATCAAGTGAACAGTCATCCTGGTTATCCATCTCTTCAAAAATCAATAAAGATACCAAAGGTCCATTTAAATGGACAAATATTTGCATATTTACTTATAGTGCATATTGTTATTTATATTTTTGGTCACACTTTATTTTGAGGACCATTTCTTACTATTAACTATGACTTTTGCCTCAAACTCCTAATTAGCTGCGTATTAATAGTATTGCAGTTGTTAAGTTTAGGTTTGGGTTCAGATTAAGGGATCTAAAATATGTTCATGCAGAATCAGAAATTTTTATGTGCTTTATAAGTAGAGATGCACCGATTGACCGGCATTAGCCCTTTTTCCTGCATGATCGGCCCGGACCGGTCTGTTTTGACGTCACACTTACGGTGACTGATCATGTATTTATGTCATGCCAGAAAAAAAATAAATAAATAATTATGTCGTGCCAGATGAGGCTTGCTCAGCCTGAGTGAGACTTGTGCAGAAATCAAAACAAATGAGCACAACAGTACACCATCTCTATTTATAAGTATTAATAAACAGCCAATATGCTAGTAATATGCATGCTAATAAGCTAATAGTGAGAACTGGTTCGTTCAATAAAGTTTTGCCATATTAATTTTTATAATGCATTCATTAAGGTTCTTTGATTGTCTTATATTACAAACTGCAATGATTCATGTCCATTTATATCCACATTGATCCTCATGTATTATAAATTCTTGGCAACTGACGCATAATGTTGTTAAAACATACAGTAATGTCAACTTAACTGTTCATGGTTGCACACTCTAAAACGTTTTAGATGTTAAAGGGACAGTTCACCCAAAAAAATGAAAATTCTGGGGAACAGAAAATGTTTGGTTACCGTGATAAAAGCATTAGCAATTAATCACAACATGAAAATTTGATACCGGCATATCCCTATTACAAACATTCTTCAAAACACCGTCACTTGAAAACTAAAACAGAAAATACAATTAGTTTGCACTTACCAGAAGAAAGAAACAGGTTTGAAACAACATGATGGTGAGTAAATGATGAAGACAGAATCTTCATTTTGGGGTGAACTGTCCCTTTAAGTGCAAGTGGGGCGCTAGATGGCGCTACAGGGTCATTTTAATTTTTGCGCAGACGCCTAAACACAACCGTGCAAGAAAGTTTGATTCCAAATTTTGAACTGAAGTCATTTTGAATAAAAAAAATATATATATTTTTTTATATATATACATTTTTTGAAATTTTTATGGAATCAAGCATTTATTCCTGTAGACGCCTACGCATTATTTAAGGCGATTTTATTTGTGAGGTTAGTTGTTGTTATCAGCTAATTTTCATTTACAATGTTTCCCTCCTACACCTAAAGATAATTTTGGGTCCCTATTTTAGGTGGTAATGGTCTTAAAGATTAAAAAAAGAAGAACTTAATTTAAATATTTGAAACAATATTTTCATTTCAAATTATGCATATAGGCTATATTTTCAATGTAAAATGGTGAAACTAAAAAAAATAGATATTACGTTTGGCTGTTTAACATTTTTAAGTGCAAATCAGTGTAACACTTTATTTTATAGCAATAGCAATAAATTATGCATAATTACATGCAACTAACCCTAAATCAATCCCTTATCCTAACCTAACCATACAGTAGGTACATGTAGTTAATTATTTTTCTGTACTTGTATAATTACACTGTAATAAGGACACAAAAATAAAGTGGATAACACTTTAAGTTGTCCTTGTTACACGTTATGTACTATTATAACAACAATAAATTATGCATAATTACATGTAAGTAACCCTAAGCCAAACCCTATTCCTAACCCTAACCATAAAGTAAGTACATGTAGTTTATTAATATCACTCCGTAGTACTTAAATATGTATAATTACACTAATAACAAGGGCACCTTAAACTAAAGTGTAACCCAATACAGTTGTAAATATTAATATCTTTATTATATGTGACCCTGGAGCACAAAACCAGTCATAAGGGTCGATTTTTCGAAACTGAGATGTATACATCATCTGAACGCTGAATAAATAAGCTTTCCATTGATGTATAGTTTGTTAGGATAGCACAATATTTGGCCGAGATACAACTATTTGAAAATCTGGAATCTGAGGGAGCAAAAAAATCTAAATATTGAGAAAATCATCTTTAAAGTTGTCCAAATGAAGTTCTTAGCAATGCATATTACTAATCAAAAATTAAGTTTTGATATATTTACGGTAGGAAATTTACAAAATATCTTCATGGAACATTATCTTAATATCCTAATGATTTTTGGCATAAAAGAAAAATGTATAATTTTGACCCATACAATGTATTGTTGGCTATTGCTACAAATATACCCCAGCGACTTAACACTGCTTTTGTGCTCCAGGGTCACATTTTGACATTGATGAGCATTGTTAGACTACTAAGGGCAACCAATAAATATAACTTTATCCCACAATTTCACGTTGTCCTATAACAACACAGAGAGCGTGTGTAATGGAGCTCAGCAGAGCAGCATCGTGAATATCAAATATTAGAGGGAGTATCTGGCGGTTTCTAGCTATTTGCTGGTTACAGTCCTGATGTGTGTCACCTGATTTTGGAGCCTGTGATGTCCAGCTCCAGGTGCATCAGGTGTCTGTCTCCAGCCTTATTGAGCTTGCGGTTCACAGTGACCGCAGCCAGGAAAGGGTTCTTCGAATCAAAGGGCCTGTGAGAACAGACAATGAACGACAGAAGGTAAACCATGAAGTCTCCACCAGGGTCAGAGGGTAACCAGGGCTCACAGCAAACATACCACCACATGTGTCAAAAACTGACCCCAGACATTACAAACCTGCTTGCAAAACTGCACCTTTTTATCGGATAGTATCGTATTTAATAACATTATATTATCAATATTCAGCATCATTACTCCAGTCAAATCATTTGCTGATTTTCTGCTCAATTATTATTGGTGCTCGGTTCTTCATTTAGGCATAAATGCTTAAATATGAAGCAGCACAGCTGTTTTCAACATTGATAATAATCATAAATGTTTCTTGAGCATATTAGAATGATTTCTGAAGGATCATGTGACTGGAGTAATGATGCAGAATATTCAGCTTTGATCACAGACACAAAAAACACACACACACACTCTCACACACACACACACACACACACACACACACACACACACACGTTCTTAACCTTGTTAATAATGCAGTATAAATGAGAGATGAGATCATGTGAAAAACCCAACAGGCTTATCTTTATAGTATGGCTGTGTGACAAACTACATATCAAGATCACAATACAATTTATGTTGATAACGATGATAAGCTCTGGACATTTTTACTCTATATGGATGAACCTAACGGTCAATCACACAGCAGAAATAATCATGACGTCTTCATGTCCAACCCGGCAAAATAAAGGTTTAGTGTAACTTGAAGAAACCATGACAAATATATTATATACTAAATGTACTTTTCAAAATAATAATAATAATAATCATAATAGTAAGGAAAACCAAGAATTTATCCATGTTTTAATTTACAGTTCTCTTATTTGACAAAAAAATAAATAAATAAAAAGGCAACGTTTTGTTATAAATTACGTTTTCATTTCATTACATTTTAAAAGACTGATTAATCTTTATTGATTAAGATTTATTAATTCAGTTTATTAGACAGGATGTTTGATTATAAATTTGTATTAAATCATAAAACACAGAATCCGGGAAAAAAAAAAAGAAAAAAGAAATCTGCATTTCACGGGCCCCAAATTAAAAGGTACCTGATTCTGTGGAGCTTACAGACTCATGCAAAGTATCTCCTTCCCCATTAAACGCAAAGAAGTGTTGTGATGCATGTAAATGTCAATATCAAATTTTATGGGGAAAAAAAATATTGTGATAATATTTTAAGCTCCATCTCTTCTAGTTTGAATGTTTGGTTTCTCCCTTGAATTTCAAAATACTTCTCAACTTCAAATTAACAAGAAATGTCATGTTTGGCATAAAATCTAGTGGGAAAAGAAGGAAGACGTTTGGCTTTGAAATGTAGCGAAGTAAAACATTATCAGAGTATTTTTTCGATTTGGGAAACATACAAATACTTCAAAAAAGTAAGCACAGCACCAGCAGAAACATTATAATCAGCGTCACTCACTTCCCGTCATCGTCTCCCATTCCCAGGTCAAAGATCCGCCGGGCTCCCAGCTCAGCCAGTCTCTTGTCCACATACTTTCCCATGGAGTTATAGTGCTCGTATGTCTTATTTCCCAGTGCAAACACCTTAAAAATACGTTTTAGACATTACATATACATACAGATTAGGGCTGCACGATAAAACGAAATGGAATCGAGATCACGATTCAACAGAAGCTGTGATTGTCATGCATATCTTTCAGTGAAGCACGGTTCTGTGATCAGCAGTAAATCTCCATCCGAAGGCCAGAGAAACTCCAAATACGCCTCGCAGAAGAAACCCAGGAAATCCCTATAGGTAGCTGGCAAAATGCGCATAACAATCGCATTCGATTAATCGTGCAGCCCTACAACAGATACATATGGATTGTTCTATATCTATACCTTATATTTCTTATATTCACCTGTTATTAAGATCACAAGTGTAAATGTGGTCCAATACTTTTTTAATTGAAACCAGATATAAAATAAATGTTAACATAACATAACATAACATAACATAACATATCATATAAGGATAAATCATAATACATTAAATGTATTTTATTAAAATTTTTGGCCAAGGAAACATTCTCATTTGTATTTAGTTTAATTTGAGGTGCTAAAATAACCAAAACTGAAATAGTAATTAATAAAAACTACACATAAAAAAAAAAAACACACAACAAAATGACTACAATTTTAACTAACATTAAAAGAAAAGATAACACAAATTATACAAATAAAAACTAATTCAAAATGTTAATAAAAAGTATCTCAATTATACTAAAATAATACATTTCCTAACTATCAGAAATAAATATTTATTTTTTAGTTATTGTTTTAACTAAAGATACATTTGTAGTTATTAAGATTGACGTGGTTTGGAATTGGTAAAATGTGCTTGAATAAATAAATTTGATCAGAATATCAGCGTGCCTAATAATTATGCACGCACTGTAAGATGTGCTCCCTTTACACAGAGTGCGCGTGATCGCGAAATCGAAAGTGAACAGCGAGCGCTCATTCAAATGCGACTTCAATACCCCGCATATCGATAGCTGCTCCCTGATGTGCGAAAATAATATACAATATTAGAATGTTTGCGGAAGCGGGACACACATGTTGCGGGAGTGGGCGGTAATGGTCAGAAATTCAGCGGGAGCGGGCTTAAGAAAACTGTCCC